GAAATCAGTGTGTGTGTGTGCGTGTGTGCGCGTGTGTGTGTGTGTGTGTGTGTGTGTGTGTGTGTGTTTAAAAAGTGATAGAATATCATGTGGGCTCTGTGAGGGACTTGGAGGCCTCTACCCCAGCCGCTTGCTGTACAGGCGGGAGCTGAGGCCCTGAGAGCTCACTCGAGGTTTCAGTCAGTAGCCAGAATCCATGGGCCTGTGCTGGCTTGCCCCTTCCCTCTTGCTCTCTCTCTCTCTCTGGCCAGAAACAGCTCCTTCAACTAGTCACCATCTGAGAAAGCCCGCCACAGGCTGTACCCGAGTTGGGAGTGTGGAGTGGAGACATGATTCCTCTCAGGTTCCAGAATGGGTCATGAGCTCTAAACCCCAAGCATTTGGTTTATACTTCGGCTTCATCTGTGGCTTATAATTATGAGTCTGCCTTCAGCACTAAACTGAGTTCCTTCAGGGCAGAGTCCAGGTCTTATTCATCTTTGGAACCACAGTGCTGGCCTGAAGTGGGCATTAAATACATGCAGAGTATACCCTGGCTGGGTAGCTCTGTGGCTAGAGCATCATCCCAAGACACAAAGGTCGCAGATTTGATCTCTGATCAGGGCACACACAAGAAACAACTAGAGGGAACATACATGGGTGGAACAACAAATCAATTTCCTCTCCCTCTCTTTCCCTCTCTCACATCAGTACAGATAAGTAAGTAAATGCTTGCAGAGTGGAGTGGATGGAGAGGGGAGGGAGTGGTGGCTGGGTCACCCCCATTGAATGAGGTGAGATGGAGAGGGATGGAGGGAAGCATGTGAGGGGTCACAGTGTCTACCGTCTGACACAGACACAGCCATCTTTCTGCCAAGATCCTCATTCCTTGGGGTCCCAAGTGCCCAAGAAAGGGGTGACTACTGGTCTGTGTGTGCAAAGTGGAGAGAGGACCTTGCCTCCTGAACTGGGCTGAGAGGCAGCATCTCAGAGCCACACTCCTCTGACAGCCAGGAGCCGAGTTCACCTTGAGGGCCAGCCCTTGGACCTTCAGGGGCCCCGCCACTGCTTCGTTTGTCTTCGGGTCTTCCCCAAGCCCCTGCCCTTTCATGGCCAGACAAGCTCTGGAACCAGCAGGTACTGGGCTACTGCTCCTGTCAGTCGGTCACTTACTCCTCACAGCAGCCTGGTGAGGGACGAGGTGTTGGTCCCATCCCGCAGATCCAGGCGCTGTGACTCAGAGTTGTGATTGTTCAGCTCGTTAAGTGCAGAGTTCTGTGACCTCCCGGAGGCCTCTGTGGTGCTCAGGGTCAGTGAGCCACACCCACCCGGGCTGCTTCTGGGAGTCTGGTGCTTTGGGCTACTCTCCCCCGGGGGACTGCTTCCACTCTAGGAACCCTGCCAGCCGCTGTGTCATCATCTTTGCACCGAGAGGCCGCACTTTAGCAAGATCCCCTTCAGAGTGTGGCCCAGATGGCCTTTCTGACGGTCCTTTCCCTATACCACCACCCCATCTTTCTTCATCAGGCATGCCCTTGTCCCTCCGCCCTCCAGCCTGGAACACCCCGCTTGACATTGTACATCTTCTTTTTTTAAAATATGCTTTATTGATTTTTTACTGAGAGGAAGAGAGAGGGATACAGTTAGAAACATTGATGAGAGAGAAACATCGACCAGCTGCCTCCTGCACACCCCCCACTGGGGATGTGCCCGCAACCAAGGTACATGCCCTTGACCAGAATCAAACCTGAAACTCTCGAGTCCGCCGGCCAACACTATCCACTGAGCCAAACCGGTTTCGGCACCATTCTGTACATCTTGAAATCATTTTCATCCTCCAATACCCACCTCAAGCCAACCTCTGGCAATCCTTACCACTTGGCCCTGCATCTCTAGATCTTAGGTTGCTTTGCCTTGATTCATTTGGGCACACCGGCTCCCCTGCTCGCCCTGGCTGCTTCTCCCCCGGAATCTTCTCTCGCCTCTCCCGGAGGTGCCACCTTAAAGGTGTGTGGCAGCGTTGGCATCAGGGCAGCCTGCCCCTGGAGGGCTGCGGCCCAGCCTCTGCTTCCACCACCCCCACAGGACAGTCACCTGCCCAGGCGCCACTCGGCTGGTTAGAGACAGCTAAATGTCCCTCAGGATGTCAGAGAGATGCCAAGCGGCGCCTGACACAACTCCTGGACAGGAAAATATTTCCCCCCCCTCTTAATAACAGTTATTAAGGGACCTTTGCCCAACACACTGGTCTGGGCTCGGCTATCTGTATGGTTCCCATCACCCTGGGCCCCCACCCCTAGCTGCAGGCTCGTGGCCAGGGTCCATCTATCCACCCTTCTGCTGCCCTTTATCCATTCGGCCCATCGGGAGGGGCCTCCATCCCTGCAGGCCTGGGGGTTTGATTTACAGGCTTTCATTGTCAGGGTGTCAGGGATCCCTTTGGCTCAGTCTTCCCACCCCTGCCTTCTCACTGAGCTCCCTCGTACCAGAGTTAGGGTCAAAGCCATCACTGTCCAGACAGGCACACATGAGTATGTATACACAGATGCACATATAGGTAAATATACACCGACATGCAGCTAGATGCTTAAAGTCAGCCAAGTAGATACACGAACAGCATAGTACATACATGCACAGGTACAGTTCTGCATAGTTATAAGTATATATGTTGAGTAGAACCATACAAAATGTGGGTGTTTTGTTTTTTTTTACTTACAAAAATGGAATATAATACAAACGTGGATATAGAGGGAAATACACAAAAATACAGTCAAATCTGTATGCCTATATTCAAGCAGCATTATTTACAATAGTCAAAGGGTAGAAATAACCCAGGTTTGTGTGAATGGATAAACAATGTGGTATATACACACAATAGAATATTATTCAGCCTTAAAAGGAATGGAATGCTGACCAGGCTACAGCATGGATGAAACTTGAGGACATTAGGCAAAGTGAAATAAGCTAGTCACAAAAGGACACATACTGTATGATTCCACTTCCATGAGCTACCTAGAGTAGCCAAATCCATAGAGGCAGAAAGTAGAGAGGTGGCTGCCAGGGTCTAGAGAGAGAAAGATGTAGGGAGTTATGGGTATAGAGTTTTAGTCTTGCAAGATAAAGAGAGTTCTGGAAATGGAGGATGGTGATGGTTGCACAACCAGACATATGTGCTTAATGCCACTGAACTGTAAATGGTTAAGATGTAAACTTTATATATATATTACCCCAATTAAAATCTTTTTTTTTAAAAAAAAAGCCAAAGCCAAAAATATTGTATATACCATATGCATGCTGAGGGATTAACAAAGGGACTCGGCAACATGGAAACGTGACCGCCTCCCCTCCCAGGAGCACTTCCTCCACCCAGATAAAGCCCTGGTTCTCCCCTCAAATAAATCTGAGGATAAGGCCCTAATGAAGGCCTTGCCACCTCGGCTGCCCCACAGCTCATTACCTTCCCACGGTCTGACCTTGTTTACTCAACCTCCTGCCCCTCACACAGCCTCTCCACCCCCAGGAGGGGTCTCCTTCCAGCTCCCGGTGCTCCCATTTCTGTCCCTGCCCCTGAGATGGGATGTAATGTCCCCACACCTCAGCTCTTGGTCTATGCTTCTTCCTCACCCCACCTCACCTCCTGCCCCTCCCCCACTTCTCCACGTCTTAAAGACAAAGCCAGCCCCATTCGTCTCTGATCACAGGGCCCAGCTTGGTGTGTAGGGGCCTGCTCCCCGCGCCCGCCTGTGCATGTGTTGGGCCCAGTGTGAGAAACGCTGTGGACATAAAAGAACCTGTGCTCTGGACCTGACTCCAGCTCAGATAAACCAATTGCAATCAGGGTCTAAACGGTCTCAAGACGTGGCATTAGGTCTCCTGGCCATCCTCATTGGACCTCATCCCTCCATAGACGGTGGCCCCTCAAGCAGGCATTACTCTGTTGTGACTATTTCAGCCTGGCCCGGCCCCCAGCTAGCTGCCATCTGCTGACCCCTCTTCCCCAGAGCAAAGCCCATGCTCCTGAGGACGCTGGGACTTTGGCCCATGTCAGGAACAGAGATAAGAAGCCTGCCAGCCCTGTTTGCTTCCTGACTCTGCAGTGTGTTCCCCTCCACCCTCATATTCTTTGAAACAACCTTTCTCACTAACCATTTAACACTCAGCTCCTGAGGCGGGGAGGAAGGCTGGGGTCTGGTCCCCACCAGGCCAAGAGCTTCCTCCGCGTTGAGGGGGTTGGAAATGCAGCCTCTGGAACAGCATTTCTCAGGGGTGGGCTTCAGCACACTGCCCCAGAGGCACCGTGTCGCTTTTAAAAAGGCAAGCTCCAGAAGCCCACTCAGACCTTCAGAATCTCAGGTGGGTGGAGCCTGGGGATCTGCATTTAACACATCCTGGCTGGTCTTGGGAACCGAGGCACAGCTCTTGAACCTAGAGGATGGGCGAGAGCTGGGGTGAAGGTGGGACAGGTGACCGTGATGCCGCAGCTGTGGAGATGGAGAGTGGCAGGGCCTCATGGGAACAAAAAAAGGCCCACAGACAGGTCATGTCCTTGGCTGTTCTGTGACACATCCCCTTCAGCTCTTATTGAAGGCCTGTGTGCAGGCCTGCTGGGCTTGCCATGGCCATCATGGTATGTTTGGGGTTAGGGCTAGTCTCTGAATTAAGTGTTTGGATCTGTTTACATGCGATCAAAATGTGTGGTCTGCACATCAGCCTGTAGGCTACGTGTGTCTGTCAACTCTCAATACGTCAGTCAGCCTGCACGCTTGTGCGCTCACATCTTAACTTGGTGTCCTGAGTCATTCATCCACCCGTGAGTGTGTGTGTGCGTGTGTGTGTGTGTGTGTGTGTGTGTGTGCCCCTGAGCAAGAGCGTGATACAACCTCCAAGGGGCTGTGGAAGGTCAGGGTTGGAAGGAAACTCGTTGGGAGCTGGCACGTAATGCTGGATGGGGGTGGGGGGTGGGAGTGTGCTAAGGGCCTACCACTGACGTCTTCCTGGGAGGGCAAGTCCCAACAGCAGGCCAGCAGGCGAGGCTGACCCAACAGGTTCCAGAAGCCAGGGGCAATGGGGCGGAGCGTGGCTCCTGACTTAGGTGGCAACGGGTTGGGGGCCCTGCCACACCGGGGCAGGCGGCAGGCGGGCAGGAGACGGATTTGCTGCTCTCTCCCTGCTGCAACCAGCAGGGTGCAGGCCATGGAGCCCACTGGAGGGTGACAGCGGCCGGTGGGCGGGCATGTTTGGAGGCCTGGGAGCACAGGGCATGGCAGGACCCCTGCGGGGCAGGGTGGAGGAGCTGAAGCGGCCCTGGTGGAGGGAGAGCTCCCCGCTGGTGCTGCAGCACAGCGAGGCGGCCCGGCTGGCGGCCGACGCCCTCCTGGAGTGGGGCGAGGCTGCCTACCTGCGGGTCATCTCCGAGGAGCAGGAGCTGCCCTTCCTGAGCTCCCTGGATGTGGACTACATGACCCGCCATGTGCGCGGGGGTCCTGAGCTGGGGGAGGCCCCTGGACTGGAGGCCTCGGGCCCCGACCGCCTCAGCCTGCTCTCAGAAGTCACCTCGGGCACTTACTTCCCCATGGCCTCTGACATCGACCCCCCAGACCTGGACCTGGGCTGGCCTGAGATCCCGCAGGCCACGGGCTTCAGCCCCACCCAGGCCGTGGTCCACTTTCAGCGGGACAAGACCAAGAACATCAAAGACCTTCTGCGCTTCCTCTTCAGCCAGGCCCGCACGGTAAGGAGCGCGTGTCTTCCGATGCCCATTTCACAGATGTGAAGACTGAGGCCCCGGGAGGGAAGGGATGCGCCCACGGACACACTGCAGCTTAGGCGCAGCACCTACCAGACCACCAGCTCTTAGAGGATGAGCTGTATTTTATTTATCTTGGTAACCCCTTGGCATTCAGGGACGTTATGGATGAGCATAGGGTGGCCCTGAAGGACTCCCACAAGCACCCTGAACATGCAAGCAAATAGTAGTGCGGTTGCAGGGAGGGATCCTTCCCGCATCTTCCTGGGAGAGGGTGTATGGCTTTCATCAGATTCTCAAAAGAGGTTTATGATCCTCAAACTAAGAATCCCAACCGTGGGGAAATCAGAGCCACCCTCGGACTTGCAGAGGAAGAAACTGAGGCCAGAGAGGGGCTGGGACAGGCGCAGGAGGGTCCAGTCGGGAAGGAGAGGAAAGGGCCCAGACTCAGGTACAGCCCTGACTCCTGGCGCATGTCTCCATCCACCTCCCACCCCTGTTCATCTACCTCCAGCTGCTCCTGAGGCAGAGGACCCCTGACTCAGGGAGGTGGAGGAGGGGGCGGGGGGGGGGGGGGGATGAATCACATGGCTCTGGGCAGGCAGTGCCCTTGTCTGGGGAGCAGCCGGTGGCAGACAGACAGCAGGAGCCAGGATGCTGGGATCTCAACTGTTCATTCAGAGCCTCCCTCCCCGGCCTGCCTTTGCCCCGGGCAGGGGAGGGCCAGGCCTAATTGGCACTGGGAGTGAGCTTATTAGTGAGGTAGCTGCTGTGGTGACCCGGTCCCTTTGATCTTCCCCCGGTACCCCTGGTCAGGCCTGTGCCATGTACTGGGCACCCCCAAGCACTTTGCCTCCTCACCCCCATCTAGACCCTTCACCTCTGGGCCAGGAGCTTCTGCCCTGGGCCGCCACGGATGCTGAGTAACTTAGGGAAGCTTCCTCTCCCGCTCCCCAATGCCCAAGGCCCTCGTTCGTTAAGGAGGCAGCAGGAAAGGAACATGGACGGAGCTTCTGTTGTGCGTTGAGTGTTTCCACATTTAATTCCCCGTAACTCGGAGATGTAGCTATCATCACTCCCATTCAGCGGATGGGGAAGTTGAGGCTTCCCGAGGCAAAGCCACTCGCCCAGGGCCCTATGACTGGGAGGTAACGGAATGCAGGCGGGAACCCAGCTCTGTGTGGCTCCCGCTGGATGCTTTGCTCTGCGTGGCCTCCTCTGCGCCTGGGCTGGGAGAGGAGGTTCTCGTAGTAGATACATGAAATGGGAGGGGGAGGGAGAGACAGTTGGGGGTTTGGTGGCACCAGAGATTATCCAGGGCTTCTCTGGCGCAGCCCATCGTATGAGGGAGGCCACAAGCCCCAGCCCCTCAGCGGAGGAGAAAACCTGGTCCCACTGGGCGTGGGTGGAAGAGAGGGAATCCATACAGACCGCTGTAGCTTTATAGGGAAACTGAGGCAGGTCTGGCAAAGGACACTGAAGGCCCCAGTGCGCGGCTTGAAGCTCTGATCCTTGAGAAGGGAACCTCAGACACAGTGCCTGGGCCAGAGGTAGGGATGGAGCTAGTGGAGAGGGAGGACCCAGCCTGGGAACTGGGGTTCTGGCTTCTGCTTCTGACTCCCAGGACCCAGCCTGGGAACTGGGGTTCTGGCTTCTGCTTCTGACTCCTCCCTTCTGGGCCTCAGTCTCCCCATATGCGGAGAGAAGCTATAGACTGGTGCAGCTGATCCACAGACATCTTTGAGAATCTGATGACAGATACACATTCTGTCCTCAGAAAAAAAAAATGCACACAAAAACCTTTATACGACATCTTGGGGTTTAAGAGAGCGAAACCTCCCTGTGTCCAAGATAAGACCCACTGGGCTAGACCATGGCTAAGAGTTTTCTTGCGGGGTCTGGCCTCCTGCTTTTCCACCCAGCGCTCTCTTCCTGGGACCCCAGGCACTGCCTCCGGCAAGGCTGAGCGCCCCTCCCTCCTCCAGGTGGTGGCTGTGGTGATGGACATATTCACAGACATGGAGCTCCTGTGTGACCTCATGGAGGCCTCCGGTCGGCGTGGTGTCCCTGTCTACCTGCTCCTGGCCCAGGAGCACCTGAGCCACTTTCTGGAGATGTGCTATAAGATGGACCTCCACGGCGGGCACCTGCCGGTCAGTGAGGGACCGGGGTGGGGTGGGGAGTCAGGGAGGGCAGAAGAGTCACTCGGGTGGTTGGTGAGCATACAGGCGTCTTCAAACTACGGCCCGCGGGCCACATGCGGCCCGCAGAGGAGTCTGATCCGGCCCGCCAGGTTTTTTGGGCAGTGATTGCAGCCGAGGTGTTACAGTAGGAATTAGTAGTTCATATAGTCCGGCCCTCCAGCTCTCTGAGGGACCGTGATCTGGCCCCCACTTTAAAAAGTTTGAGGACGCCTGGGGGGGATGGGTCCATGGGAGTGGGGGACTGGCTTCCCTTAGCTGTTTAAGGTCAGAGACCTCATGGGATTTGGACAGGAGTCCCATTCTCTCAAGATCACCCCCCCCCTCAACCTTCGCCCCTCCTTGGTTCAGAACATGCGTGTCCGGAGCACGTGTGGGGACACGTACTGCAGCAAGGCGGGCCGCCGCTTCACGGGGCAGGCCCTGGAGAAGTTTGTCATCATCGACTGTGAGCAGGTGGTGGCGGGCAGCTACAGGTGAGCCAGCGGGACGGAGGCAGAGGGCCTGGGGCTGAGCCGCCGGCTGGCAAGGGCACCTGGGATCTGGCAGCTTTGACTTTTCATTCACTCACCCATCTCTTCCAACATGGGCCGAGCAGCTGCCACCTGCCAGGCACTATGCAGGGCTCAGGGGACGGTGTGGGGGGTGAAACAGCCCCAGGCTGGGCCCCGGAGGTGGTTCCTATGTGGACGGATTACTTTAACGCTATTGGCATAGAAAATAACTATTTTACCTTGAAACTGGAGGGGCTTCAGAGAACCTTGCCCCTAGTCCATTCTGTGGATGGGCAAGCTGCGGCCCTGGGACGGGAAACCACGTGCCCACGTCACCACGCCGGGCTAGGACCCGCGCAGACTCCGGAGTCGGAGCTCTGCCCCCTCACGTGGGCCCTGGTGGTGGTGGGGTTGTCTTTCGCCGTGAGTCCTGCCTCGGCCCAGGGCTCTGCCCTTTGCCTCCTGACCCTGACACTCTGCCCCCAGCTTCACCTGGCTCTGCAGCCAGGCCCACACCAGCATGGTGCTGCAGCTGAGGGGCCGCATCGTGGAAGACTTCGACCGGGAGTTCCGCTGTCTGTACGCCGAGTCCCGGCCTGTGGGGGGCTTCTGCGGTGGCGAGGACCCCAGGGCGCCCTGCCCTCCTCTGGTGGCCCTGGCCCTCGGGCCCAGCATCCCGAGCCGCAGGTCCTCATCGCCCTCCAGCACCAGCCTCGGCAGCATCAAGCACTCCCCTCTCATGGGCCGCTCCTCCTACCTCGCTCTGCCAGGAGGCGGTGGCTGCAGTGACACGGGAATGGGGTCCTCATCCCCAGGCCCTACGTGTCGCAAAGCCAGTGGCCAGTCCTCCCTACAACGCCAGCTGTCAGATCCTAACCGTGCCTCACCCCCGGGGCCCTACAGGGCCAACCTGGGCAAGATGGGGGCGTCCCCGTGGTCCCAGTCCTCCCCTGCCCTCAACCACACTGGCACCAGCCCCTTGTCCCTGGCAGTGGGGTCCCCCCTGCTTACTCGCCCACGCTCCCTCCTCCCCTTCTCCCGAGGTGCCCCAGCCCTGTCTAGGCTCCCAGAGAATGAGCTTCCGGGAAGCCAGGAGCCTTGCCCCCCACGAGGCCGCTGGGTACCTGGCTCAGCCCTGGAGACGGTGGAGGAGAAGAAGGCTCTGAGTCAGAGCCATGGCCAGCTGGACCTCATCCCCTTTCCCAGAGCTCGAGAAGCAAGACGCCCTGATTCTGGTGTTACCTCCAACTCAGACTCCCTGTGGCCTGGACAGCAGGCCCAAAAGGACAGGAGGTTATCCCCAAACCAGAGATACAACCAGCTGGATCTCCTGCCCCAGGCCCAAGGTGCTGGGGATACCCCTGCGTCAGGCTCCCCCAGACCTGGCAGTGGGAACCCAGAGGACCAGAGGCTGCCTCCAAACCACAGCCATGGCCAATTGGACCCTAAGACTGGGGGCTCCAGAGTGCCCCCTGAAGCCAACTCCTCAGCCAGGGCTGGCAAGCAGGGCCGAGGCGAGCGACGGCAGACCCTGGGCCACAGCCAGCTGGACCTCATCACGAGGTTTGGCCCGTTCCGGGGCGAGGGGCCTGGGCCCAATAGTCTCCCTAGACCGAGCCCCGCTCGCAAGCCTGGAGTGGGCTCTGGGGATGAGAAGCGGCTGACTCTGGGCCACAGCCAGCTGGACCTCATCACCAAGTATCATCAGCTGCAGGGCGCCAGGCAGGGGCCTGAGCACGGCCTCCCTGGGAGAACCAAAGGGGACCAGCGCAACGGCAGTAGCAACGGCACATGTGGGGACGAGAAACGGCTGACCCTGGGCCATAGCAAACTGGACCTCATTACTAAGTTAAACAAGTCCAAGTTCAAGCTGCTCCGAAGCCGCTTTGAGTCGTAGCCTTGCTCCCAGCAGGGACATAGCCCTCCTACATCTGCTGAGACTAGATTTGGTTAGGTTCTAGACTCTGGGTAGAAGCTTGGGCATAGGCTGCATGGGGAGGAAAGGATGTCTGGAAGCCCAGGTTAGACACTCCCTGTGCTCAGGGTTCTTGCTTACACACACACACACACACACACAGATGCACACACACAGGGAAACGGAACCCTCAGTTAATGTTATTTGCCACTGTGCTGGGCACTTCAGACCAATTATGTCTCTTCCTTCATCTTCACATCCTGCAAGATAGACCTCTAGTAGATAAACAATCCTAGGATCATAAGTGTTCATCTTTCCTATTTTATAAATATGGAATTGATGACTTGCTTAAAATCAGGTCTAATTAAGTGGCAGAAAAGAGACCCAAATCTGTGTCTTTTACTCTTTTGATTGTGTTTTTGCACAGATACAACCCACAATATCAACAATTCATATGTGCCCAGGCATACTAAATATACACACCACAGCAATGCCCAAAATGCCTTCACAACATACATAGCACATTAACAGGGTTCACACCCACAGGCTGCACACCCATAAGCACAATAAATGTCATTTGACTAAATGAATGGTTACACACACTATATGCATTCAGTCACATTGTAGACCCCTCAGGTTCCACAGACCATATATATATATATATATATATATATATACATAAACACACACACACACACACACCCCAGAACATGCACCAACCAGTATTTTCTTGTACCTAAACTTTGTATCCAGCCCTGCTGGGCATGCTATAGGCCAGGGCTTACAAATGAATTAGGATTAAATGCCTATACCACTGGCCAGCAAGACAAGGCTGTGTCTAATTAAAGGAAAACCGATGAAAGAGGTTGGTAGAGAATGAAGGTCAGAGATCAGGGCAGAGATGGTAGAGTGGGAAGGAAAATTTCTTAGAGGAGGCAGCCTTGAGCTAGGCCTTGAAGGATGAGGAGTATTTGGACAGATGACCAGGGTTAGAGGAATTCCTGGTAGAGTGAGCCAGGCGAAGAGCTATCAGGGAGGGGACTGAGGAAGTGGCTCTGAGACGAACTGGGGAAGCTGAAGAAGATGTACAACAGCATGCATGCACACACACCCACACACATTTTACTGAGTGTTCCTAGAAGCACAGGCTCTGACAAGTTGTGGGTCCTTTTCCTGAGCTCACCACCTGCCTGGGACAGTGTTATATATGATGCACATCAATAAAAGCAGACATGTTGTGACCGACCCAGCAGCAGCTTGGTGTGTCCCTAGGAAGGTGGTGTCATGGAACTGTGCCTTGGGGGCAGGGGAAGGGCACCATTTAGTGCAATTATGGAGGGCTCTCTGGAGGAGTGAGGATGGCCGCGGGAGGGCTGAGGGGAGGAAAAGGGCTCACGCACCCTCTGCCCTCACTGTAACATTCTGAGAGCTCCCGTGGCTTTTGTAGATGCTACAAAATGTGGGTCAAGTATATCCTGTCCACGAGTGCAAGTCGCTTGATCAGCACCATCTAGCCAAGGGACAGGAAGTGGCTGCCCAGTGAGTGATCAAGCACATGCAAGGGGCACATGGTGGAGCCAGTCAGCCCCACACCCTTTCCTACCCTGCACCCTCCCTAAGACTCTGCTTCTTTCATCCTCTCTTCTCTCCACTACCTTTTTCAGCCTGGATTCTTCTACTTCTCTGACTGCTTTCTCCAGCCTCTGTCCTGCTCTCACTTCTCACCCATGGGTGACCTCATCCACCCCAGGCTTCAGCCCCAAATTTCTGCGCTTCACTTTCCCCTGGGTTCCAGATCCTGCCACGTCTGTCTCAGACCTCACATTCAATGCCACCTTCCCCACACCTGCTCTTCCTCTTCAGGCTTTATTTCAGTAAATTCCTCCATCATCAACTCATCTGTGAGACAACCCTGGCTCCTCTTGTATGCCTCACATCCAACCAGCCACAAGTATTGGTCAATTGTGCCTCCTAAAAAGTTCCTGGTAGCCCTAGCCGGTTTGGCTCAGTGGATAGAGCATCGGCCTGTGGACTCAAGGGTCCCAGGTTCCGGGGCATGTGGCTTGGTTGCAGGCACATCCCCAGTGGGGAGTGTGTAGGAGGCGGCTGATCAATGTTTCTAGCTCGCTCCCTCTCTGTAAAAAAATCAATAATATATATATATATATATATATATATATATATATATATATATATATTTTAAAAGTTCCTGGTCAATGTGGGGGAGGAGGATATATGTAATACTTTCAACAATAAAAGCAGACATTAAAAAAAAAAAAAAGTTCCTAAGGGAATGAATGACGAATAAATGAATGCATGAGTGTGAGCATGCTGGGGGAGGGGCGAGGTGACGTCACAACCGGAGGCTCGAAACCATAGAGTGCATCCAGAAGGTGGAGCTAGAGTGGCGGCGAGCGCGGCGGGGTGCGCCCGGCTCTCCCGGAAGTCTCCTAGGCGGAGGCGGAAACGGAAGCCTACTTGAGGCAAAGAAGGCCCATCGGGAGCGTGTCGAGTTTCTGGGTACCTGCTGAGTCCGTGTGAAGGGTCAGCTCGGGCTCCCCGGGTCACGGGGTGAGGGTGGCCGGGGGGTTCGGAGGGGCCAGAGGGCGGGACCGGGTGCCTGAGGGGCCGAGGGGGTGGGGTCGCGGCGGGCCCCGAAGGGCCACCCCGGGGACCAGGAGTCCGGCCGGGGAGGACCCGCCGGCCCTGAACTCCCGGCCCACTGCCCCCAGGCCTCATGGCGGTTCGCGCGTCGTTCGAGAACAACTGTGAGATCGGCTGCTTTGCCAAACTCACCAACACCTACTGCCTGGTGGCCATCGGGGGCTCGGAGAACTTCTACAGGTGCGGCGGGGGCCCGCTGGCGTGTGTGGCTGGGCGGCGGCGGGCAGGGTGCTGGCTGGCGGGGGCACCGGCAGAGCGAGGGCTCCGGCCCGTGACCGCCGAGTTCGTGTTCCCACAGCGTGTTCGAGGGCGAGCTCGCCGAGACCATCCCTGTGGTGCACGCGTCCATCGCCGGCTGCCGCATCATCGGGCGGATGTGTGTGGGTAAGCCGGGGGAGGCGCCGAGCGGGGGAGCCCGTCAGCACCTTTAATTATGTCCCCGGGTGACCCAGGGATTTCCAGGCATTCCTCCGTTGTAGACTCTGAGGCCAGGGTCCACCTCCGGAGAAGGCTTCTGGATCATAGTAACAACAAGTAGCATTAAATGCTTTCACTCTCACACTTGTTTGCATGCCTTCTTCACGAAGACCCTGGGAGGTAGGAATTACTGGCTTAATTTGACTCGATGGGAAAGCTGAGACTTGCAGAACCGAAGTGACTCACCAGGTGCCACACCTAGTGTGAGGCAAGGTTAGAATGCCCTTTCTTCCCTGTCACTAACTCTGTGCCCATTGCTTTTTCTTCAAGCTAAGATTCTGGATCGCCCTGTTCAGTTATGTAAATCTTAAATCCCCATGTCTCTCAGTGGCGTCCCTATCCTACCTCTCCGCACCACTGGTTCTCTTTGAGCTGAACCTCTGTTTACTGCCACCCCTTATTTCTAGTTCTGCTCATAGAAGAGTTTGTTCCTTTAATTTTTAAAAATCATAATCCTGACGATGCTAGCCTTGGAGTATTTTCTTTTTGAAAAAGAGAGAGAGAGAGAGAAACATCAATTGGTTGCCAGAGAGAGAGAGAGAGAGAGAGAGAGAGAGAGAGAGAGAGAGAGAGAGAGAGAGAAACATCAATTGGTTGCCTCTTACATCCACTCTGACTGGGGATTGAATCTGCAATCTGGGCATGTGTCCTAATTAGGAATCAATCCCACAACCTTTTGATTTTACAACATGACACTAGCCAACTATGCTACAATGGCCAGGGCAGTAATTTCTTATTAAGGCAAAACACTATTATTCCTAACCATGACTTCAGAACTTGAAGTTTTTAAAAAAAAAAACAAAAACATATCTATCCACTGAGCAAAACCAGTTAGGGCCAGAACTTGAAGTTCTGATGTAACTAGGGAGAATTTAGCCTGACCATTGCTGTTTTATTTTATATTATCATGGTAATAACAGTTAAAAAGTTCACAGAATTGTAGAGGGAGGCAGAGGTTTAGACAGTGGTGTCACAACATAATTGTAGTTTGTTAATTCTCATTTCTGTGTATATGTTTTATGTAAGTATATCACAATGTATTTATCCATTCTCTGACAGTGGGCATTTGGGTAGTTTTCGGTCTATTATGCATCGTGTTGCAATATCTTTTAGTGAATACATGTATTGATTATATAATACCTAGGAGAAAATGGCTAGGTCATAGGGTATGTGAATATTCAGTGTAATTGCCCTAACCAGTTTGGCTTAGTGGATAGTGCATTGACCTGCGGACTCAAGGGTCCCAGGTTCAATTCTGGTCAAGGGCATGTACCATGGTTGCGGGCACATCCCTAGTAAGGTGTGTGCAGGAGGCAGCTGATCAATGTTTCTCTCTCATCGATGTTTCTAACTCTATCCCTCTCCCTTCTTCTCTGTATAAAAAAAGTATATATATTTTAAAAATATTCAGTGTAATCTATGATGCCAGGTAATTATCAGAAGTGGTTAAACAATTTACACTCTTATTGGTTGCTCAAGTATATGGAGTAACTCAACTCTTGGTATTGATGTTCTTTTGAAAATTTTAGCCATTCTAGTAGGTGTGTGATGTTATCTTTTAAGTTTCAAAATATATAACTAATGCCAAGCACTTCCTGCTAGTCCAGGTTCCCCTGGTTGGTGTTGTCAAAGTAGGTAGTGTGTGTGGGGACAGACTCCTAGGGTATCTCGGGCCTGCCCAGTAGGACTCCTGGTCTTCCTTAGTGTTATATGGATCAATTGTTTAGAGGGCTGAAGTTGGCTTACAGCAGTGGTCGGCAAACTCATTAATCAACAGAGCCAAATATCAACAGTACAATGATTGAAATTTCTTTTGAAATCCAAAATTTTTAAACTTAAACTTTTTTTTTTTTTTTTAATATATTTTATTGATTTTGTACAGAGAGGAAGGGAGAGAGATAGAGAGTTAGAAACATCGATGAGAGAGAGTCATCGATCAGCTGCCTCTTGCACACCCCCTACTGGGGATATGCCCGCAACCAAGGTACATGCCCTTGACTGGAATCGAACCCGGGACCCTTCAGTCCCCAAGCCGACGCTCTATCCATTGAGCTAAACCGGTCTCGGCTAAACTTAAACTTCTTCTAATGCCACTTCTTCAAAATAGATTTGCCCAGGCCATGATATTTTGTGGAAGAGCCACACTCAAGGGGCCAAAGAACCACATGTGGCTTGCGAGCCAGCCGAGGTTTGCCGACCACTGGTCTAAAGCTTTCCTGGAAAAGCTAATTAATTGGGCTGGGTCGTATCCTCAGCTTCATGACTCAGCAGGTATCTGTGTATTCATGGTCCTTCCTTGTTCCACCCCCCAATTTGGATCTTTCCAGGGAACAGACACGGTCTCCTGGTGCCCAACAACACTACCGACCAGGAGCTACAACATATTAGAAACTGCCTCCCAGACACAGTGCAGATCCGGCGGGTAGAGGAGCGGCTCTCAGCTTTGGGCAATGTCACCACCTGCAATGACTATGTGGCCTTGGTCCACCCAGATCTGGACAGGGTAAGGCAGCCTAGCTTGGCCCAAGGGTCACATTACTAGCCTAGTAAATGGTTAGTCACTTTTCCTACCTATCAGGCAGGAATTAGGGGTGTCTCTTATGGTTTCTTTTTATACCTGTGTTCTCACATTTCAGTTATTCATTGGAATAGTGATAACAGACTTTGCATGGGGTGGTCAGTATGAGAAAGAAGCTGGAAAGGGTATTCTTCAGAATCAGGAACCAGCCAGGGCCCAGGTAGATGACTGACACTTGAACCTTGAGTGTGCATTAAAGGGTGGTGTGGAGACCAGCCCCTGCTGTTCAGAGCTTGCATGGATACTAGGGGCTCCGTGGCTGGCCTCAGCTCTGCTCCAAGCTGTATCCCCTCCTTTTCTGGATCAAGCTTCCATGTGCAGCTACGTAGGAGAGGAATGAGAGGTTTAGGGCGTCAGCTCCGTGTGGTTCTTGGCATGGAGGGCCCTGGATTCTTTGACTTGCAAGCCCAGGGTGCTGAGCACGTTTCCTTTGGCTGACAGGAGACAGAAGAAATCCTTGCTGATGTGCTCAAGGTGGAAGTCTTCAGACAGACAGTGGCTGACCAGGTGTTAGTAGGAAGCTACTGTGTCTTCAGCAATCAGGGAGGGCTGGTGCATCCCAAGACTTCAATTGAAGACCAGGATGAACTGTCCTCCCTCCTTCAGGTCCCCCTTGTGGTAAGCATTCTTGTTCTCTGTCTCCTGCTGAAGCAGATCCCTTTGTCCTGTGTTATGGGGCTTATTCATAGGTTGGGATTGGGGGGAGTTCTCATCAGGGATGGGAGAAACTGATTGTTGATGTTATGATCCATATTGAGCTATCACCTGACAGGCGGGCACTGTGAACCGGGGCAGCGAGGTCATCGCTGCTGGGATGGTGGTGAACGACTGGTGTGCCTTCTGTGGCCTGGACACAACCAGCACAGAGCTCTCGGTGGTGGAGAGTGTCTTCAAGCTGAACGAAGCCCAGCCTAGCACCATTGCCACCAGCATGCGGGATTCACTCATTGACAGGTACCTGGATCTCTCCTCTGCCTTTTGAGGGGAGGAGGAGCAGATCACCTATAATGGGAGCCACACTGTATTCATTCCTGAAGGTTCTTCTGGTGTGTGAGGGCACAATGCCGGGCTGTCATGGGGTACAGCTGCAAGCATTGCCTGAGTATCTGCTCATCCCTGTCTTTGAAGACTTGGTTCAGTGTATCTCTTCTCTGGGCACAGCTTCCCTCTGGTCTTATTTTATCACTTACCACCTGGAGTTTGTATCTGCCTGTGTGTCGGTACCCCAGCCAGCGGACTATACAGAAAAGACCTGTTCACTGAGGGGAGGAGGGGAGGCTGCCTGCAGGAACCGAGGAGCCCTCGGGTGCCCAATGGACTTGGGGGTGGGGATTGCATCACAAGCACAATCACCTGGGTGTTTGTTTTTTAAACTGGGTGCTTGGGCCTCAACCTGGAGATTCAGGGGTGTGAATCTAAAATCTCTTCTTTCTTTGGAAGAGCAGCAGGTGTTGGATATTCGGGCTCCTTCTCTGTATTCCCCATTGAGGATCCTTCCCAGGATATACTACACCAACTAGCACAGCCCCTAATATCCATGCAGAATAGAAACTGCAAAGTGGAGCGAGTGCCCAGCAATAGCACTGGCAACAGGCAATATTTCTCTTCCTTCTTCCTTCATTTATTCATTCACCTGATGTTCACTGAGCCCTAAAGACAAAGCTTCATGTGGGATAGGCAACTTAGTGCTACTTCTGCCTCTGAGGGCTCACAGTGTAGCAGGCGAGAAGAGTTGTTGTGGCCACACATAACTCTTAGCTGTCTTTAAAAAAGAAACAAAAGGTGCCTTAAGTGGCTTGGCAAGCTCTGGTGAAACTAGTTTTGGGATCCAGAAAGGATAGTGCATTTAGTCTGGGCTTTAAGAAATGAGTAGGTAATTGAATATGCATAGATAGAGTGGGGAAGCACACTAAACAGACTCACAGATGCAGGGGTGTGAAGGGGAGAACTATTATTCCCAGAGTGTTGGGGACTCTGAATGCCCATGGCAAGTCTTATTTCTCCTCCCAATTATAGTTGACACTCAATATTATATTCGTTTTAGGTATACAACATAGTGGTTTGACATTTATATAACTTAAGGAAGTGATCCCCCTGTAGGACTGGTACATAGTTATTACAATATTATCCTAATATATAAAAACAAGCCAGGGGCTGTCACGACCGAAACAACCGGACACATGACCAACACAGGCTGTGTGGGGCGACAAGGCCAGCAGGGGGGTTAGTGAGGGACGACCAAATGACTGAATAGCTGTCAGCCCTAGAGAGCAGTGGAAAGGGTCTGATTTTGTCGTTTGTTAAACAACTTTTTTAATGTTATGTGCCAGACAATAGTGATGTGATGATAAACAAAGTATACCCTCCCTGCCCTTTTGAAACATAGACTCTCATAAGAAAAAGTCAGTATTTACACCATGAATCATTTAACTAAAGAACAACAACAAAAACCCTCTTAGTAACCTAAGAACAGAAATTTCTGTAACCTGATTATTGGTACTTACTGAAAAACTATAGCAAATGTTGCATTTAATGATGAAACTTCAGAAATTGTCATTAAAGTCATGTAGTCAGCAACACTGGTCAGCATTGCAGTTTGATAAGAAAAAGAAATGGGTATTGGAAAGAAGAGACAAAACTCATTATTCTCCTTTTGTTTTGACCTGATTGAATTTGAGGTGCCTGTGAGGTGTCAGGCCAAGAGAAATATGTACTTCGTTTTTATCATCGTGCACATGATTATCACTTGCAGGAAGAAAGTTCTGGCCTGAACCCTGCCACTGGGGTATTTGTGTCTTAGGCACGTTCCTTCCCCTGGCTGAGCCCCCTGGTTCCTTCATGTCTGGTGGACTTGACCCTTGAGGATCCAACCTAAGACCACCAACAGTTTGGATAAATTATTTTTTATTTTTAAAACATACTTTCATTTATTTCAGAGAGGGAGGGAAGCAATGATGAGAGAATCACTGATCAGCTGCCACACACCCCACTCTGGGGATCTAGCCCGCAACCTGGGCATGTGCCCTGACAGGGAATTGAACCAGTGACCTCTTGGTTCCTAAGTCACGCTCAACCACTGAGCCAGGCCGGCTGTGCTGAATAAATTATTGAGTTGACTCATCTGAATAGGGAAGGAGTTACTTTTACTTTCTAAGTAAATTGGGAATTCTACACTGGATTTTAACTCATGGGACCAATGGAATCTGGAAGGGGCTTTGAATATGGTTCTTCAGGCCTAAATTGGAACAAAGTGTATGGGCTGAGGTTGGAGGTAAGCACCTTGAGAATGGAGGGTGAGGTGTGCTTTGTGAAGCACCTGCTGACAATGCTCCTTCCTCTCTCTCTCTAGCCTTACCTGAATCACCTTCCATGCGGCTCTGAACTTTGGCTCCATCTCAACGTCCCACCCACTGTGTCTCGGATGCTGGCAGGGTGGTGGCAGAGAGCTCATTGGTATCGAGTGGCTGGATGCCCAACCCTTCTTCACCAGTGCCCATCTCCTGACTCTAGTTACTGCAAAATCTACCATGTACTAGCTGTCAGGCCTTATGGCTCCTAGCTGAGAGCTCTGTGTCCTGTGCCAGCCAATTAAAGGCAGCTGCTTCTGATCATTCTGAATGTGTTGTCTGGCGGCTTCCTCACCATTATTCCCGGGGAAAAGTGGGGGGAGATGCGCGGGCGGGTACCTATCACACACATTCTCTCAGCCCACACTGTGGTTCTCACATTTTCCTCTCACTCCAGCCTCATACTCATGAAAGTTAACTCCCTCCCCTGGGCTGGTGTCAGGACCCTGGGACAGAATCCTGTGTAAGGCCTCTGGGCACCTGACTAGACTGCCGTCTTGGGCCCAACGAAGTTAGAGGTCGCTGGCCTGGCTGCCCGGTGCCCTGGACCGCCTGGACCTCCGCGGGCTCCTGAGCTTGGGTGGGCCTTCTATTGGTCTCCTGGCTCCGCGGGGCGTGTCACCGCAGGATGAGGCGGGATTGGCTGGGTGCTGGTGGGTGGGGTCGAGCTGGGCCCCGCCCCCGGGGCCAGAAACTCCGCTCCGGAGGGCGAGGGGGTGACGTCACGGCGGCAGCTCCTCCCGCGCAGCTGCGCAGACGAGCGGAACCTGGAGGCTGCGCTGGGATTCTCCGACCCGCTGCTCCCGCCGCGAGGTGAGGGCCTGAGCGGGCAGGGAAGGGGCCGTAGGGCTGGCCACGCACCTGACGGGCTTGTGCTCCTGCAGACCATGGGCGCTCAGCTGAGCGGCGGCGAGGGCGCCGCGGGGCCGGCGCAGCCCCAGCCCCAGCCCCAGCCCGCGGCCCCCGAGGCTCCGGAGCGGCCTGGGCCCGAGCCCAGCCCCTGGGGGCCCCTGGACGACGTGCGCTTCCTCATCGCCTGCACCTCCTGGTACTGACCGCCCCGAGTCACCGCTCACCGCCGGTTCTGTTCGCCTCGCCTGGTCCGGCTCTGTGGTCTGTCCCCACCGCCCGATGTCTCAGCCTGTTCCCTCCCGCCCCCACGCCCCAGCCCCTCCGGTTCCCCAGAGTCGAGGATTGAGGAGGTCCAGGGGCCTGGAAGGCAGTCCCGGCAGAGCTGCCTCCACAGCTGCGCCTTGGGACACCTCGAAATTGTTCGCTCCCCACCCTACATCCAAACCACCTCAGCTTTCCTGCTCACCCGCTCCCTACAGCGCCAGCCATCTGGGTCCTGGCTCAGTCAAGACCAGGCTAGGGTTCTTGGTAAGACCCTAAAGCTACTCACCTCACCTCACTTGTTCCTTATTGCTGAGAACTCAGCTCCTGCTTTTGTTCGTGGTCACTGCACGATGTGCCTTGACTTCAGAGAAGACCTTGCTGCAGTGACTTCCTGAAGTCCTCCTCGGGGAGGTTGCTCCTCCAGCCTGGATCCCAGGGAGGCGTTATCAGGCTGCATTTCAGGACCCTAGTTACACTGGGCCTCTCGGAGAGGGGACGTGTGATTGCTGGGCTTGCCGATGAGATGAATGGGGCAGTTCCCGGACACCCCAAAGTACCCTGTTTCCCTTCTCCCAGAAGCTTCTTAGGCCACTCTCAGAACCTGTTCCTCTTTCCCACATCCAAGGGAAATGACAGACTCTGTATTTTTGTTTTATTTAGAAATGATTTAAAAAACATTATACAAAGGCTGATCAGTTTAAAATGTGACTGACACTGAAATGCTGTGATGTTCCCCAGGCCGAGGGGAAGCTGGGCTCTGGGGCCCCCGGTTGCTTTGCCCCTCTGTCTGCTCTGTCCTGGGGTGATGGACAAACAGATGATCACAAGGCAGGATAATCCGAGTTTGGAAGCCTCCAGGCTGAGCCCTCTCTGGGTCTAGCCTTGCATCCCTCACATCTGCAGCCTGGGCTGCCTGCCTCCATCTCCTGCTCTTTCTCAGCTGACCGCGGTAGTACCAGGAGCCAACGGGAGCCTGTGGGGCCTAGAGCGTTCAAGAAGTGAGAGCACCAACCTGAGGAGTGGAGGGGGACCAGGGCGGGGAGAAGGGAGGCCAGGAAAAGATGGATAAAAGAGACACTGCTGACCTCATCTTGGACCTTCGAGGGGTCCACAGGTGGAGACCAAGGCCCAGCCAGCTCACTGGATGGCCTGGGCGTGTAACAACCTCTCTGTGCTTCATTTGAGGGTGTGATGAAAATTACCCTTGGCCTCCCAGGGCCTACACTAGTTTCATGTGAGTGGACAGGTGTGAGCTAATAAAGTGCTTTGCAAAGTATAAAACGGTATACAAACTTATGAATCACTAATATCTCTGCAGTTGTTCCCCACCCGCCCCAGGGAGCCCGCCCTTGGCCAAAATAAAAAAACAAAACAAAACAAAACAAAAACAACCAGAAGGATAATGACAGGGAACACAGTGGAGCCAAATAGGTGCCTCTGGGATAAGAGATTTTGCTTCAGACAGCGCCCAGGGCAGCAGAAGTCCCTGTCTCCTACAGGCTAAGCTGACCCAAAGATCAGAGGTCACAGGAGGGGGGCCAGGGCCTTGTAGGCTCAGAGGGCCAGGTGGCAGCATCCTGAAGACTGATGCCGCCTCCTGGATTTGGCAGCCAGCGGGCATCACTGAACCCATTGATTGGTCTTGCCCAGGGCTTCTCAGTGGTCAGCAGGGCTGCCTGCCTCCACTGCGTTGGAGTGAGGCAAGCTGAGCCCTAGGAATTCCTGCCAGAGACAGTGCAGGGTGGGCCCCTCGGCTTGGGGCCACTGCCCATTGGTGGTGCTCTTTTCCAAAGAGCAATGCAGGAAGAAGGCCCCGTGAGCTGGGTTAGCAAGGGCCAAGCTCATGATATGAACACTGGTTCCAGTCTGAGGAATCAAGTGGGCTTCAGCGTGGTTGGGGGGCGTGGGCTCGGAGCACTTGAGAAGGCTGCCCTGACTCCCTTACTCGGGGCCATGAGGATGTTGGCCTGGAGCCATTTCTGCCTCACAGAACTGGTCAGGTGGAGCTACAGGCTGGAGTGCTGCTAGAGACTGGGCATGGGGAGAGAGTAAGGAGAGTGGAGGATGGTCACAAACTCAGATCAGCCTCCAGAAACAGGGTTGGCTCCTGCCCCAGTGCTTCAGCCTCGTGAGGAGGGCCTGGCTCCTGGGGTGTATGGGTGTCAGAGTGGCCTTAGCAGCACCTTGGTCCTTATCACCTGGGGCACGGCCTGTCATCTGGCCTCGTCACCGACAGTCACCTCTAATTCACCTAAAGCCTCCAGCAGCCTTTGCAGAATGGGACTTTAAACAGTAGAGACAGGACATCTAAATGTTCAAGATGTGACAGCTGGGTCCTTGGGAGACCCGGCCGGGCCACAGCCCTGCCTGCAGCATGTGACCCTAAGTCCTGGGTCTCAGAGGAGACCCCGGTGTGTGGAGCAGGTTTCCTGAGGGATCTGCTGCACGCCAGCAGGGGAAACCCGTCTTGTTGCCCACTGTTGGCAGCAGGGGTCCTGTAGCCATGGAGAACAGTGGGGTGGGGGTGAGGGGGACATCTGACCAGCAGGTGTTGGCAAAGAGGGACCGGGACTGGTGGCTTCTCCCAGATGGGACTGAGAGCACTAGTGCCGGCTTCCTGCAGAAGGTGCTGGGTCCAGCCAGGAACCAAGCTGTGGCGTCTCACGGACACCACAGGATGCAGTGACCACAGGGCCTCCCCCTGGCATGGGGCCTGGCCTATTCCCTTGAGTAGGGAGCAGTTTATCCAGGACAGAAGGCTGGCATCTGGGTGCCAGGCACCCACCCTGGGGCTCAGCTGCCATCACTCCCTGCCCCACGTTCATCCTAGGCCAGTGCGCCCACCACTTCAACTACATGACCCCTAGCCTAGGGCCCTGCTGGCTCCAGTGGGCAGTGACCAGAGCTGCCCCTCAGGCCCTGGTGAGGAAGGGCCCGGCTGGCCAGGCTGAGTGGACAGAGAGGGCTCTACGCTGCTCACACCCACTCCTGGACTGGCCGCTTATAGTAGGTGACAGGCTGAGGGCCTGCCTTGTTCTTGAACTGGAAGATGGTGTAGACCAGCACCAGGATGCAGAGGGACAGGATGCAGGGGATCACCACGGCCACCGCGTTCACGGAGCCCGGCACGTCGTTGATGGTCACCATGATGTCCACGTCGTCCTGGGGCAGCCGCCGCTCCTTGCGCCGCTCCACCTCTTTCTGGTTGCAGCCCATCCAGTCACGCAAGATGTTGCGTGGGTAGCCGGGCTCCACGCTCAGTCTCTGGTTGTCGAACTTCCAGTAGTCCCGGCCCTTGTAGAAATAGGTGTAATCTGCAGAAACACAGCCCAGCGTCACCACCACTCCCCGACACGTCCCTGTGCCCGCATGTGTGGGCAGGAGGTGGTGTGACTGTGTGGAGGGGCGCCTCTCCCGCCTGGGGGAGTCCCAGAGGAGCTCTGAAGGAGGGGTGGGCTTGTGAGGAGGTGGGAGCAGGGTGTTGGCACACGTGGAGGTGGGGAAGCACAGTGCTTGACACACCCTGCCAATAGCGTGTCTGGGTCATGGAGTTTCACCTTCATGGCTGCAGAGATGAGCACCCAGGACCTGGAGCAGCCCACCCTGTATTCTCAAAGGTTCTGGGGAGCCATAAAGGGGCTTTAAGTCAAATTGGTAAATTCAATCTGTGCCTCCCAGTCTGGAGCCATAGATCTGTCACTGTCCCCACAGGCACCCTCCCATGGGTCAGATCAAACCCCTAACTTAGGGCTTGGACGGCGTGGTCTCTATAGCTCTAGCGTCTCAGTCCAGCTCCTGCCTGGGCCAAGGGAGGTAGGGAGCAAGATTTTTCCTCTTGACAGCAGACACCACCTCTTGGCAATGATCATGGATTTTTTTTTTTTTTTTTTTTTTTTTTTTTTTTTGCGGGGGCTTGGCACACATCACTTCGCAACACTGATTACAAGTTTTCTGGGACCTTTCCAGGGGAAGGGCTGGAAGTAAAGAAGGCAGCAAACCTGGGGGGGGGGGCACCCCAAGGTTCCCAGCAACAGCCTTAGCAGTGAGCCAGTCCTCAGATCCAAAGCAACTCACTCAGACTCTCATTGGCCGGTACCCCACCCTGGCTGGGACGTTTCATTGGCCAAAGTCTTTGATGTCATCTGTTTCTGAGGCTCCGGGACAGCAAGACCACGTGTGTAAGGCATTAAGTACACAGGAGAGCCACCGGTAGCTGCTCTATCCCTGGGGCTGTTGGCTTTCTTACCAGCGGCATCTCATCAGAGTCCTTCCCAATGACGGCCAAAGTGGCCCCCTCGGCCTAGTTGCTTTCTCACAGCATTTATTTCCCTTACAGCATTGGTTGCTATCTTATTTTCCGGCCCCTAGCCTGAGAGACAGAATGCAATGCAAGTCTTGTTCTCTGCTCCATCTTCAGCCCTCCCACACAACCTGGTTCTAAGTAATTATTGTGGAAAAATCTGTCATTCCATATAAACGAAAACACATCAACAAGATGACAATGAGGACGAGAGCAGCTAAAGCAGATGGCATGGGCCACCTGCTAGGCATTGGTCTAAGTGCTCTACATAATTTATTTAATCCTTACAAAATCCTGTGAGGTAGGTATCATTATTATCTCTGTTTTATAGATGAGGAAACTGAGGAACAAAGTGATTTGCCAAAACTCATAGTAAGTGGTGGAGATGAAACCAGCCAGGCTGTGCTTTTGACCATATCAGTGGAGATGTGTTCAACAGACATTTATGATACCTACTCTGTGCCTGACAAGACCCAGCCCCTTCTTGAGAAGCTCCTACTCTGGCCTCTAGGAGGAGCTTAGAAAATGTCTCGTAAATAAAGAAGAAGCCGGGACTGGTTTGGCTCAGTGGATAGAGTGTCGGCCTGCAGACTGAAAGGTCCCAGGTTCGATTCCGGTCAAGGGCATGTACCTTGGTTGTGGGTGCATCCCCAGTGGGGGGTGTGCAGGGGGCAGCTGATCGATGATTCTCTCTCATCGATGTTTCTCTCTATCCCTCTCTCTTCCTCTCTATGAAAAATCAATAAAATATATTTAAAAAAAATAAAGAAAGAAGGCTTCTCTCTCCACCTCCCTGCCCTCAAACCCTGGGAAAAGGCACCTCGGAACCACCATATCATTGCTTTTCAGATTTGATAACTCAAGGAACTCCCGGAGTGCACCTGAGTCCGTGAGGAATGCTGTTTGAGGGAATGCAGTCAGTCTATGGAAACATCTCTCAATGGAGAATCAACCCTGAAGGTGAGAAATTGTGAGTTGGTAGCTGGTAAGAGAATTTCACTGTGTGAACGTGGGTGGCTATGAGGCCGTTGTCTTTGCTCCCAGGTGGTGTTTCTCAAACCAGGGTACCCACGGGCTCTGCTGGGACCCCGCCCACCCTGCCGGGCCCGTACATACATCCTTCCTTGCTGATGAAGGCCCCCTGGGGGGCCTGTGGGATGCCCTTCCACACGGTGATGGGCTTGGGGTAGCCGGGGTCCGTGGCCCGCCGCTCCTCGCTGTAGCGCCAGTACTGCTCGCCTTTGAAGAAATAGGTCTTGCCCACCGGTTCCCAGCGCAGAGCCGTGTCAATGCCTTCTCGGGGCAGACAGCTGCCCAGCTCCCCCAGGCTGTGGGGGTACCCAGGCTCCACTGTCACCTCCTTAAACACCCAGTACTTGTCACCTGCGGCCAAGAGAAGCCCAGGATCAGCCTTCCCCGGCCCCTCAGTGCCAGAGGCTGTGCTAGTGCCACTTGCCCATCTTCTTCGGGGACTGAAGTCATTCATAGAGCCGGAGTAGAGCAGGGAGACAGCCCTAGGCCTGCTTGATACCCTCAGTAGAAGACTGAGGCCTCTTGGCCCAGGCACACCGTAGAGGGCAAGAGGCCAGAAGCCAATCGCAGATCCTGGACAACTCACTCCATGCCGCCCAGGCTCTGTGTTTCACCCTCTGTGACTTGTTCCTTTCTCCTCTCTGGGTGATCTCAGCCACTCGTGCACACTAGTGTTCCTTGATACCCTCTCCCCCCTCCCCTTCCACCAATGACACCCAACTCTGAGGCTCTAGCCCATAGCCACTCTCTCAGTGGACTGAGCACCAGACCCGGGTATCCTGATGGCCCATCTGCCTCCAGCATGTCCAAATTGGCTTTCCAGAGTTCCTCATCGCCACCACAGGGGGCGCCCTCCCTCATCACCTTCCAGCCTCTCAGAGTCCTGGCCCTCGTTCCTCCTCCTCTAGCTGTGTTTAGCCTCCCTGTATGGGCCTTGCAGACAACACTC